ATAGTCGATTAAGCCTCGTTTGCTTACCTATTATCCGGATTACATTGATTAGGTGATATGGAATAAATATCGCACTGACTAATTAATTATTTAGTCAGTAAGATGTTTGATTCGTTATATTAAATCTTGTATTAAATTTGTTAAATTCTGGTATTAATTGTGAATTGTGTAAAAAGTCTTTTAATTAACAAAATTAAGATATTGTTTTAATGATAAAATTGTATTTTCCTCTTTTAATAACCCTCTACTAAATTAATCGCAGGGGGAGCGGTGCTACTAATTTAACCAAATAATAGTATTTAATTGCGGGCTTTAAATGTAGTAGCAGGCTAGAATAAATACGAATCTCATCAACCAAACATCTTACTAACCCCTACTATTTAGTTAATAGAGCTTAGTAGCATTAAGCAAACGAGGCCTAAGGAAATTCTTTAATTTTTTTTTTCAATTATTTTTTGTTCTGTTTTTTAAATATTTTTTCATATATTAATCGTCTATGAAGCTAGTCGATTAAGAATCTGACTACTAAAAATAACAAATCACAACTACAAAAAAAAATGCAACATCAACTATATTTTACAAAAAAAAATATACAAACATTATAATTTATTTATACAATTAGAATCAATAAACAAAAAAACCAAAAATAATAAAAAATGGTGTCAATTAACCTTAATCGACTATCAGAGCTTAGTCGATTAACTTAATCGATTATTGAACAAACCTTCTTCACATCCGCCGCCGTGTATTCATCTCCTCACCGTACGCGCCCTTCGCTGCCAGCTCCATCTCCGACTGCGTCACTAGAGGGAACGAGTGCGAATCCGTTATGTGCGATTGGAAGACGTTCAGTTTATTCATGTTGATTGCCCTAATCAGCCGCAACAAATCTTCCAATTCGAAGTAATTTCTCGAGGTGTCCATCAATACTCCGCGTAGGGCTGTCCATGAGCCGATTTTACCCATCAACCAATCCATTTTCGACCCATATTTTTTCATGGATAATCAACCATCAACCACCCCATTCAAGTTGGGTGGATAATATCAACCAACCCGTGTATAGTTGGGTCGATAATGGTTTATAATATGCTAAAAACTTGGTTAGTCGGGTAATATCGACCAACCAACTTTATTTATTATTTATTACTTTTATTGCTTATCTAATATTGACTAAACTCAAAACACATAAACCCAATTTATGGAGATCGATTATTTTGAAATATTGAATTCTTGTTCGCTAATTGAGGAACACATAAAATTTCAATATGTTGTTTCCTATTTCGGATTTTTTTATTTATATTGAACTATTTTAACTTCAAGACACATGAGCTGAAATATTTGAATTTATTATAATATTGCTAAACTATTTATGTTTAATTACAACACATATAGTTTGTAATATTTTAATTTTTTTTATTACATATTGTTGAACTAATTATTAATTTTAGTAATATAATATTGTTGTGATAAAATATATTAAAACAAATGATTTTTTTTTCTAGAAATGTGGATGACCCCATTAACCAACCCATTGACCGACCTATAAAGTTGGATGTCAATCAACATCCAACCCATCTAAGTTGGGTCGATAATGGTTTTCAGTATTTGCCATTGTTGGTTAGTTGGGTTGGGTTGGTTTAATGGCCGGTAATCAACCAACTTTTTTTTTTTTTTTTTTTTTTTTTTTTTTTTTTTTTTTTTT